GCAGATCAGTGCCTAAACTACCAAGGTATTGTTGATACATGATAGATCAGTTCCTAAACTACCAAGGTATTGTTGATATATGATAGATCAGTGCCTAAACTACCAAGGTATTGTTGATATATGATAGATCAGTGCCTAAACTACCAAGGTATTGTTGATATATGATAGATTAGTGCCTAAACTACCAAGGTATTGTTGATATATGATAGATCAGTGCCTAAACTACCAAGGTATTGTTGATATATGATAGATCAGTGTCTAAACTACCAAGGTATTGTTGATATATGATACATCAGTGCCTAAAGTACCAAGGTATTGTTGATATCTGATAGATCAGTGCCTAAACTACATGTACCAAGGTATTGTTGATATATGATAGATCAGTGCCTAAACTACCAAGGTATTGTTGATATATGATAGATCAGTGCCTAAACTACCAAGGTATTGTTGATATATGATAGATCAGTGCCTAAACTACCAAGGTATTGTTGATATATGATAGATCAGTGCCTAAACTTCAAAGGTATTGTTGATATATGATAGATCAGTGCCTAAACTACCTAGGTATTGTTGATATATGATAGATCAGTGCCTAAACTACCAAGGTATTGTTGATATATGATAGATCAGTGCCTAAACTACCAAGGTATTGTTGATATATGATAGATTAGTGCCTAAACTACCAAGGTATTTCTGTCTTTTAACTTGTATTCACTCATTTACTAACGAATGTGACTTTGGGGCAACACTGGTTAAAATCTACAGATGCTTGTGTATTAAACTGCACAGCCCTATCATGTAATCCCAAACATTAAAATGACTTCTGTGGCCAAAATGCACTCTCACTTACACATAATAAAAAAGTCAGGAGAGACAACAGTGACATTTTGTTACTTGGCAGAAAAATATATTTAAAAAAAAATTATATTTAATTTTCCATGTATGTGTCGAAAAAATGTCAAAAATTGTTTTTTTTCTTGCTTCTGTCTCGCATGATACCACACTCAATTTATATTAGCAATATTAATACGTCTTAAACATGTACATTGGTACAAAGTATGTATTGTGTTCATCACATCTTTGGAACTTAGCACGCTTACAATAAAATAATTTGCATTTTCTGTCAATGATGTAATTTTCATCTGCCAAATAAAGATATTTGGATGTTGCCAAATATGTATATTTTTGGTTTGAGGTCTGACTTAGTATTATACTAATGGCCAGTGTATGTGTATATACATGTAAGCTTCTAACAAACATTCATGTTATTTGTTGATGATGCAGTGAAAGACTTCGAGTGATTCGTTTGGTCAAGCAAGGACAGAAAAAGGAAAGTTTTGGATTCAGTGTACGTGGTGGTGTGGAACATGGTGTGGGTATATTTGTATCTGAAGTAGTTGCCGACTCCCAAGCTAGTAACAAAGGATTAAAGGTAATGGATTTCACCATCAAACACACACAGTATAAACTGCCACCATTTCCTAATAGTTCATGACAACCATTTTTTTCACTGGTCATCAGTCACTATACACAATTCTAAGTCTTGACAATAGAAACTAATGGTAAATTATTCAAAAATTGTTGATTGCGATCTACATGTTTTTCTCAAGATCAGTTTTTATTTATACAATTCCCGTGTAACTACTTTGTTTTTGTTATGTTTTCTGTGATACATAGGTGGGAGATCAACTCGTACGTGTCAACGGATTCAATATATCCCAGGCAACTCATGATGAAGTCTTAGCACTGGTGAATAGTAAAAGAATTGTTACATTGAAAGTAAAAAGTAAGTAGAGTCAATAACATCCCAAAACTGAGGTGAATTTATTTTGAAAATTACATGGATGGATCACTAATGGTACCATGCAAAGTTTGGATTATCAAAACATTTGGATAATTCAAGTTCAAATGTATATAGATCTTCAACTTCATTAACAGTTTTT